TGCCAATCTAGAGCCCAGTGTCAAGGAGCGTCTGATTCAGCTGTTGCATGATTATGTTGAAATCTTTGCTTGGTCATATGAAGATATTACGGGACTTGATACGGACATCGTGGTACATCGTCTGCCTACAAAAGAAGATTGTCTTCCAGTAAAATAAAAAGTCCTCCGCATGAGACCTGATATGTCAAAAAAGATCAAGGCAGAGGTCATGAAGCAATTCAATGCTGGATTCTTGGCTGTCTCTTCCTACCTTCAATGGGTTGCCAACATTGTTCCCGTACCTAAAAAAGACGACAAAGTACAAATGTGCATGGACTATAGAGATTTGAATAGGGCAAGCCCTAAATATGATTTTCCACTCCCCCACATCGATATCCTGGTTGACAATACGGCCCAACACAACGTGTTTTTCTTCATGGACGGATTCTCAGGTTACAACCAAATCAAAATGGCACCTGAAGACATGGAGAAAACAACATTTGTCACACAGTGGGGCACATTCTGCTACAAGGTGATGCCATTCGAATTGAAGAATGCTGGGGCAACCTATCAGCGCGCCATGGTAGCCTTATTTCACGACATGATACATCATGAAATAGAGGTCTACGTAGATGATATCTTTGTAAAGAGGCCATTGTTTATGAAATCTTTGTAATGGTTCTCGTTCGTAAGAATCTATACAAAGATGTTTGATCTTTTGAAAATGTCTTCAAGTTTGTAAGTTGTTTGAAAGTGTAGGTGTTTATTTTGAAAATAGCAAGGATGTGTTTGAAATGAGCAAGTAATTAGTAGCATTCTACCTACTCAAATGTCTTTCATGTTCAATTCCTTTTTCCTTTGACATTGTTATCTTACCATTGATTTGGTAAGTAACCATATCTTTGGATGTAAACGGGACGGGCGTGGGTCATCGTATAACCATGATTAGCAATTTTGCAAGGTATCTTAGCATTCTCTTTTAGGGACTAAGGTCATTTGAAAGGCAACTTAGATAGCGTCATCGAGGGACTACGATCTTATACTTTGCTTGTTTTTGCTAAGATACCTTGCATGCGTAATATGACCACTTTGCAAAGGCAACCAAGTGGAATTACCCTAGGGGTGCTTGTGTGCAAGTGTATTATTTTCATGCTTGATTTTGTCTTGAATTAGGTTTTTCTAAGTATTGGTTTTAGTCTTTCCATACAAACCCTAATTACTAGCAATTTGTATATAAAGCGATAAATTGCGGAATTTAAAATTACTACGCTATTACAATACTTATGGGAGGGGGGTGTACAAAGTACGATTGGGGATTGCAAGAAAATAAACCTAGTTAATTTATTACAACCATATTGAATTGGTACAAGAATAAATAAATGTACAAAATATATAAATATGCAAGAATGTAAATGTGAAGAAAATGGATATTTTTGTTTGGATTTTTAGAGAAAAGAGATTTTGATTTAACCTAATTAACTAAAGAAAAATAGTTTAATTAAAAGTGGAATTTAGATTTACTAGAAAAGAATCTAAATAAAAAAACCTAGTTTTTTAATTGATTAAAAAGAAGTTGAGTTTAAGAAAAGTATTTTTTTGTATTTTTGTCTTGAAAATAAATTATAGTATTATAAAATATTTTTGTCCTTTTTTATATTAAAATAATATATTTTAATTGGTGTAAGAGAAAATAAATAATAACCTAGTTTTAATTAAATTTACAAGAATAATTAGTAAAATAAATAAAGTATGGTTAAATAAAATATATTTTTTGTGATAAAAATGAATAAGCTAAGTTAAAATATAAATCTACTATTTTTATATTTTTTATGATTTTTTTAATATTAGAAAAATAATTAAGAAAATAAATAAAATGAAAATAAGAAAAGAAAATAAAATTGGGTCAGGGGTGCTGATTGCCTACAAGGGGTTAGAAAGAAAAAACAAAAAAAAACAACAAAGCCCAATGAGGCCCAGCGCCTGTCCAAGAAACAAAGTCAGAAAGCAAAAAATGTGAAAAAATCAAAAGGGTGCCACTAGAGCTCGAACCCAGGTCCCAAAGGTTACATGCGTGCGCTTCTACCACTAGGGTGGCTATACATCCGTTAACATAAGCAAAACAATAAATATATGACACAAAACGCGCCCAGAATTATACTTCATCTTCAACCTCCAACAAGACCAACTGTAACTTGTTCAAATCTCAACAAAAATGAAAACTGTAAACATGAAACTTGTAGCAAATTTCCTCACGGTTTCAGAAATTTAAAGCATTAAAACTATAGCTCAAAGATAAACATGAATTTCATCGGCCCTAATCTGAACCCTAAAAATCTCAGAAATTTCAAACTTAAAATTCTCTAAGCTAAAGAAAAATTAATGGAAACTATGAACATGGTTAGCTTTAGGGCAATGATATCTACATGTTTCATTCACAAATAAATCCACTACAAGAAAATTAGTGTTTAACGACACAAAAATTGCGACAGTTATGTGATAACTGTCGTAATTGACATATAGAGACAGTGTTTACGACAGTTGACACCAACCGTCCCTAATATTTATTTTGCAACGGTATATTTAACTATCATAATATTATTATTACGACGGTAAAACAACCGTCGGCCCCCATTTAACACTTTTAACATTGATTTTTCACCAACAACTAGTCACGACGGTAAAATTAACCGTCCTAAAAGGCATATCACGACGGTAAAGCACCCGTCGCACCCTTAAACCTTTCACGACGGTAAAATTATCCGTCCTAAAATTAATTTCACGACGGTAAAACAACCGTCGCACCCAAAACCTTTAAAAATCTCTTGCTAACTTATATATTTTATCTAATTATAATTGTTATGTATATTTAAGTTCTCTCTTGTTAAGGTTAAGTTTATGCATTATTATATATTCTATGAATTTGATACGACAATGGTGTTATGTTCAATTTAATCAATCAAATAAATTTAATCTTTCATCTTTTTCTCAATGCTTGTTATATTTGTATTATGCTTGAGGACGATCTATGAGATGTCGAGACAGTCTGATAGGACTAGACCAAGGGTAACTTATGGTTATGCCTCGAAAGACATGACTTTTATAACATGATATGTGGATTTAATTGATGTTGAAAAATGATTTTAAGTTTATACCTAAATAATCATTTATCATGAGCTAAAGTATATACATAGAGCTTGACATAATATTCACATATATAGTTGAAACACAATGTTATTGTTAAATTTATACCTAATCCTAACTAAACACAAATTGAGTTGCACATTTCCTCTGAAGTTAGAATTTTGATAAACCCATCTCGCAGCCATTACAAATCGTGTATTGAAGTGAAGAATGCTTCCTCAGCGAATGAAGAAAGTCGTTACTGATAACCCTAAAAAGCTCGCAAACTTGATCGATCTCGTTAACCTTCCTCCCACTCTCAGAGACTTCGTCGGTCAATCTCAGACTTCTCGATTAACCTGTTTCATGCGTGTTTGGTCCTACGTCAAAACCAACAATCTTCAGGTTCTGCTTTGTTTTTTCAACTCATGAAAATTGATTCACATCAAAGTAATTGTTGTTATTATTCTGTTTTCAGGATTGGAGAATTTAAACTTTGAATCAGTGATTAGAATTGGTTGTTTCCTTGCTTGTGCAGGATCCAAATAACAAGAACATGGTAAACTGTGATGAGAAGTTAAAATATATTTTACTCGGGAAACCTCGGGTTGAGTTAGCTGAACTTCCAGCACTTATCAAGCTACATTTTCTGAAAGAGCCCAAGTGATGATGTGTGCGATACGAATCAAGATGCATACCCTTCCTCAAGATGAGTCTCTCAATTGTTTTTCGCTTTTCTTTACCCCCATAGATTCAACAACAACATTAGTATAGAAAGGAACCTAGCAGTTGAAACACCAAATTGGCAGTTTTCTTTGTTGTGTATGAATAATGTATTAGATTAATCTTATCACATGTGATCCAATTTAAAAATCTCCTATTTTGCTGCATGCTTTTGCAACTATATAAGTTGTTTTAAAGAAATTTTTTTGCCGGGGTTGTGATTTGTTATGCATAAATTTGTGTATATTATTATGATTTATACCGAGTCATTTTGTTTTTTCCTTAGGATTTGGAACTTCTCTAGCGGCTGCAGAACTATTGCATCCAAAGCCTCTGCAGTCGATACAAATGAATTAGATAATCCCCATACCCTCTCACATCTCCGTATGCATACTGTTACTCTTTATCAAGAATCATCTTGAACTTGCAAGTTATGATTTCTCCCAAACTCGTTACCATAAGTAGATTGTATGCATTGCAATCAGTTTAGTTAAAATTGATTGCTTAATGTTGCTCCCAAAAACATGAAATTTCATAGTCGAAGTACCTGGCCCTCTTTGTTTACTAGGAATCAAACCTTCCTCATTTGTAAGAAATCTCTTTTGAACTCTTTAAATGATATAGTTGAAGGTACTCTTGCTAACTTTTGAGTGGAACAAAGGGATACCTATAGACTTTCCTTGCTAACTTTTGAAGATTAACTTTCTGGCCAGCTTGTTCACATCACATAAAAAGTTTTCAATAAGAATCTGAACTTATTGGAGCTGCTGCTGAAACAAGATAAGAAAACAGACTCGAATCGATGCAAATTATATTGAAAACGAAAATCCTATAAGAAACCGAAAAGCATTAATGTACCATATAGTGTAATAGGTAAACGTGTGAATGTTGAATATAATGATTAAAGTTGAATAGAGTAATTAATGCAACATATGTAAACTGGATGCTATTGATTTTGCATATCCACTACATGGAAACTCTGTTAATTTTCATTTCAAATGCATATATGTGATGTTTAATTGAATAGTACAGCCTTAGGGGTTCTTAACATCAATACCACTTTTTACTTTTCACCACAAACGCCACACAACTTGTTTGTTCTCCGATTGATCCAGACTACTGTGATGATATAATTGCATCATGTGATGGCAAGTATTTGTGGCATACGTAAATATTGGATGCTACTATCTAATCAGCACTTGGAATTTTATAAAAGTGCACTTCCTCAACCTTTGACTTCGATTCAGCGTCTTTATATTAGTCGGCTAGTTGAGAAATATGGAGCTGATTTTCAGGTTTGATCTGTTGTCATGTTAATTTCAATTGAAGATATATTAACATTGTAAAGTGAAAATGTTGCTGTTAGGAGGCTGTTTAATGTTTTGTTGTTATTATGGCAGAGAATGATGATGGATATAAAGCTAAATCCTATGCAGCATTCTGTTGCAACTTTAGAGAAATTGTGTATGAGCTATTACATTTACAAGAACAAGAATCCTCTTATTGTTGGAAGATGAAGTACTTTGCATATGAACAAGTGTAGTGCTGTCGAAGATTACAAACTTCCGGTTGTGAGTTGTGATGGTTGATCCATGAATGGGCAAAATGTTGTTACAATGAAGATTTTGGTTGTTTTGACACTTTGGATGTTGCTCGGGTAATATTGTTATAAAATTTTGTTGATGCTTTTTAATTTTGTATGGATTTTAAGGAAAGTTCGATGATGCTTTGCAGAAGTATAAGTTGGTAGGTTGACTTTTCAGATTGCTTAACTGTCTCCTCCACACCTTTCATTGTTGTTTATCTCTATTTTGAGACTATAGGAAATTATCACTATAAGTCTATATCACCTTGTTTTAATTTTTACATTTTAGGCCAAGGAAAACATCAAAGAGATTCCATCTTTTCAAAGTAGAAAACTTCTTTTGGCATAAAGGTTGTGAGCCGAGTTGTGTGACATACAGCATATTGATTTGTTCACTTTGTCGTGATGGTAAAATTGTCGAGGCTGAGAATGTGTTGAAGGGTATGAAGAAGAGAGGGTTGGCTCCTAATGCTTATTGTTACAATCCATTGATTTCTGCTATTTGTAAAGAAGGAAAAGTAAATTTGGCTATAGAGTATTTAAATAACATGATATCAGATGGTGGTTTGCCTAGTATTGTTTCCTATAACTCGATCTTGGCAATTTTGAATTTGACTTTACTTATCTTCTAGTCGAACTTCAGTTAATGCTAATGTTAAGTATTGAATTTTGCAGAGGCAAGCAGATGTGAACTCACTGATGCTGATACTGGCATTGCTATGTCTTTTGCTTCCAATGCTATTTACATACAGTGCTGCATCACCGGAACTCACCGTAGAATCTTCACTCTACTTGTCAAGAGCTGCTAGCATTGTCATGTTGGCTGCATATTTTGTTTACTTGATCTTTCAACTATGGACACATAGGCAACTATTTGAAGCTGAAGATGTATGTTTTCTTAACTGAACCATATATGAAAATGTTGAATTGTTGATTGTTGCAATTATAGTTTATTAAAAAGAATTGAGCAGGAAGGCGGAGATGAGAACATTGAGGAAGAAGAGGCTGTGATTGGATTTTGGAGTGGATTTGCTTGGTTGGCTGGAATGACCGTGTTCACTGCGTTGTTGTCTGAATACGTGGTCGATACAATTGAGGTATTTCAATTTAATTGCTTAGATCTAATTTGGAATTCTTTTGAATAAACAGCTCAATTAAGCACTTATTTAATGAGCGTATCACATAATCAGTTATGCATAAGTCAGGAGCAGGTTTAGATTGACTTATTGTAAGGCTGTTTGGTAGAGCTTACAATATGTCCACATGCTGTTTTCAACTTATTTTTCTAAGCTCTTCATGATAGCTTTTATAAAAACAGTTTATAGCTTATACGATTTTTTTTTGGCTATTTTATCTTTTGTTGTAGAAGTAACTTATACATAAACACTTATATGATAAGCATTTATGCTTTAAATGTGTAGTTAAACTGTTTACCAAACAAGGTCCTATAATCAAATATGAAATGTGTTTAACCTGTTTTTATATTAGTTATAAATCGTTTTGCTAAGCTTATAGAGAGTTTTTACTAAAATAAGCTTAAAACAACTTATAGGCGTGTCATAAACTATTGTTAACAGGATGCATCAGATTCATGGGGTTTATCAGTGAGCTTCCTCAGCATAATCTTGCTTCCAATAGTTGGCAATGCAGCTGAACATGCTGGAGCAATCATTTTTGCTTTCAAGAACAAGCTTGTAAGAATTTATATTATAGTGTTACTCAATTCCATACTTAATCCTTTCATTTAACATATGATTAAATTCATATTTTCCAAGCTATAAAGTTGATGAATTGAAAGGAAAAAACAATATTCAAGTGAAGCTGAACTAATTTCATGACTGCAGGACATTTCCTTAGGTGTTGCATTGGGCTCTGCTACTCAAATTGCCATGTTTGTGGTAAATAAATATACTCTTACCTTTATGGATAATTTGATTTTAAATTGCATTTACGATTACGCTGCATGTCTCTTTATATTATGAGAAGTGCAGCTGAGATACCGTTGTAGAATCCTCACAGTCCTTTATATTGCGGCTACAATTGTTATTGCAGACTACAATTTAAAACATATTCGGATAGTTGTCTTTATTTGAATTATAATGACACATATATAATATTAAAATTCAGGTTCCCCTCTGTGTTACTGTTGCTTGGGGAATGGGAGTGAATATGGACCTAAACTTCAACCTCATTGAGACAGGTTCTCTTGCTGTGGCAATTATAGTCACAAGCTTCACTTTACAGGTATGTAAATTTCACATCCAATTAAACAAAACACCAAAACGGTAATAGTAATAGAACCATCCCAAATAAAACTCACCACTGGAATTTATATATATAATATGGAGAAAGAGCCCGATATATGCTTGGATTCCACTTGATGACATTGTAAATGCCAATCGTGAAAATAGATAGTAACCATAGGATGATTATGGGAGGAAACGTGAAAGCAATCGCGTGGGAGCCACGGTGTTGCAAAATAAAGAGACCAACCAGTAGAACACAGGAAATAAGAGGCATCATACCTGCATAGATTAGAAGCGTAAGTTGTAATGGAAAAATCACCTATGCTGCATTTGACATATATTTGAAACATTGAAAACTGTGGGGTAACTTTAGTGGGAAATTTTAGAATAAATATCCTAGAGTGATTTTGTTTATACTGAAGAATGGTGGATAGCAAGCTTTACTGAACTTCTTGTAAACAATTCTCCATGTCACATTTGCAATAGTTTGTGCCACCTCCTAGTTTGTGCCAACTTCTTTTTACGTATATATGGAAGTCCATGATTTGATCAAGAGGTTCTCCCCCAATATATTATTCTTGTTATATAAACAATAGCTCAATTTTTTCTTTTTCATGTGCAGAAAAAATTACAAGCTGCAATTAAGGATTCTATGTCTGAAAATGAGGCATTTCAGAAAGTATTTGGAAAAGAAAAGCATGGATATGTTCGTAGTATGGGACTTGGAGTTACACCATCTCAAATTAATAGATCTACGAGATCGACATCTTCTTCTGCAGAAAGTGAACAAATAAAGGAAATGCAAGAAGAAATTAATGCACTTAAAGAAAAGAATTCAAAAATTGATGAATTAACACAGGCAATCATATTCTTAACGCAAAGGGACAAGGCGAGGACAAAGGAAAATGAACTCTTAATGCAAATGCAGAATTTTAGTGGAAGACAGGTATATTATTTTGACGCATTTAAAGTTAAATTTTATGAGTATTATTTTAAAGATTATTATTTTAATACCTTTTTTTAGGGATTGGAATCACCCGCTGATGGTAGACGTTCATCTGAGTCTAGCTACCGTATTGGAGATAATGGAACTTCAGGGGGGACAAATTAGACTTTGCTATGATCGAGATAATTAGATTGTGAACTTTCTCATGTATTTTTGGCATAATGATACTTATTATTATAAGATTAGGAATTGATATATTTTGGGTTTTTTGTACTACTTGACATGATTATGGAACTCGCATTTTACATGATTATGGAACACACATTTTTTTGGATATTATAATGCTTATTTGATGTTAAATATTTTTTATTGAAATTATTTTTACTATATTACAAAGTGATAGAAAATAAAACAAAAAATAATACTATAAATAAATATATTAAAGAAGAAATAATTTAAAGAAAAAAATAACACAAAAAAAAACTATATTTAAAATTTTTTACATAGATAATAATTTAAATAAAAAATATATATAATAGAAAAATAAAAAAAAATCAAGACATAAACAAAAGTCATGGCGACAGTACCGAACCGTCGTAATCAACAATTAAAAATAATCAACAAAAGTCATGACGGTATCGAACCGTCGCCATAAACAATTTAATCAATTTCAAAAGATATTCACGACAGTATCGAACCGTCGCCATCAATAATTAAAAGAAACTCAAAAGATAGTCACGACGGTATCAAACAGTCACCAATACTTGATTATGTCAGCTCCAAACCCGTCGTAAACTTGAACGACAGTTTTTGTAACCGTCGCGAAATAGGTTGGGGACACACACTTCTGCAACGGTAAAGCAACCGTCGTGGAAAGCAAATTGTGACGGTTTTAACCGTCGTAATCTACAAAAATACCTGTCGCAATCTGCCAATTTTCTTATAGTGATCATTGATGATGCATGTATGAAAAGTTCCAAAGTTATAAAACTTACCTTAGTAGAGGGTATCGGGTTTGAAGTTTGAGCAGCTTTCAATGAGTTCCAATGATTGGGTTAGCTTCCTCAAGTTCCCAGGAAGCTAATGGGATGCTTAGCTTGAGCTGAAAGTACCTGAGGAGTTCTGGAGAAGTCCAAGTGCAAAGCTCTGTTTTTGAAAATGGAGGATGGTGTTAATGGTGTTACAGTTCTGTATCAGGGTGTGGGATCAGTTCTAAATGATATTTAGAAGCTTTAGGAACCAACTCTTGAAACTTCATATGAGTAATCTTGGGGGTCCATAATGATCCATGAAAGTCATATGGGGCATTGGAAGTTCAAAAATCCTTGTGTAATCTCAAACCCTAATTTTGGTCATTAGTGCTTAAGGAGGTTTCTTGAGCTCATCAACCCTAGTGCAGTCTTGAGCCCAAGGAGATCTTGTGAGAAAATTCTTGATAAGTGAGAGGGCAAATTTTGGGGTACAACAGCTTCCCATGTTCAATCTTCTTAAGCCTAAAGAGTTGGACTGGCGAGTTTTGCCATTTGTGACTCGAAGGTGGAAGATGATTGGACACTAGAGTGCCCAAAAATGTGCACTCGGTGATGTTGATGGTAGATGGTATATGGAATGGGCTTAAAGATGCCATTTGGAGAGATGATGGAAAGTTGTTGGAGATGGGATTGTAGATGCCATCCATAAATGATTGTTGAATCATATCTATAAGCTGAAACTGAATGAGTATCAGAATGGTGTCCGTGT